AAGAAATTCATTTTTTTCTACAACTTTTTTTTGTTTATTTATTAAATATTATTTATAAAGAACACTCTAGAAATACTAGAAGATTCTAGAGTGAAAAATAAACATGCTATGACTCAAAAAACAAGCAGCACTTGTAGTATCATTACTTTCGCTAATGACTGAATCTATAATAAAGTCTTTTTAAAATTAAATACAAAAAAAAATACACAAATCTCGTCTAATTTTTATTAATTATTAATATACTCTTGTGTTTACAACTCTTTTAAATTATATTTGTTAGCTATTATATTATTATACTTATACTAGTTTTCACAAATTTATCTTTTATGACATTAGACGAAAATAAGTTGATTTATTAGTAAAGTTACAGATAGTAATTTTTTTCATTCTAGAAATGTAATTAACGATTCTTTTCTTTTTTTTCTTTAGGAATGACTTAATGCTTAGATGATCAGGATAGGTAATTAGAGAAAGGTAGTATTTTTAACTCTTTTCTTATTTCTTATTTTTATTTTATTTTAGAAATGTTACTAATTTTTTTTTTTCATTTTTTTTCTTTCAGTTAGGGATGAATGGATGATAGTTGATTTATTTTTTGATTTATTTATTTTTTTTGAATCATATTACTGGGTAAGCTACGCTTCTTTTTCATTGATATCAGACAATGTATTTTTTCTCCTCTTTCTTTTCTTCCTTTCCCTTCTTCTTCTTCTTTCCCTTTCCTTTTCTTTTTCCTTTTCCTTTCTTAATTCTATTTTTCTTTCCTTTTTCATTTTAGCAATATTAGCAACTGTGATATATGTAATATTTCTTGCCTTCCTTCTAACGGTTGTATAATTTTCTGTTAAAAGAATTTCTTAATTTACTGTTATTTATAATCTTTTAATTCCAATATCATATGCAATAACTAATTTATTAACTCCTTCATCATTTATATTGTTATAGAATTCAAATATTAGATTTTCAAAAGAACTTTCTGATTCAAAAAATTAATCAATAAATGTAGCAAGCTCCTAAATTATTTTCTTTCAAGATTGAATATTATGTGGCTGGGAACTTTAAATAAAATTTCTAATGTAATTACAAATCAACATCTCCATTCGCTCCTTTTCTAGTTGTATGGCTTTTATTCTCAGTTTTAATTCTTCTCTATCTGCTGGAATTCTTATTACATTTTGTTTTACAAACTTTACATTAAATGTTCTAGCACTTCATCATATGCAAAAAATGTTCAGTACTTGTCAAATTAACAGATAGTACTATACTAAGCATTTTACAAAGTTAAGGATCATTCTCTATACAATGAATATAATATGTTACTGATCTGGTATAATTGGATTTTTCTGCAACAGGAAATAAAGGTGAGAAAGCTTTTAAACTTTCATGTTGTAAATCAAATATTTTCCATCGAATCCTATACCAAAGTGCATGCCAGTAGCTAGCCCATTAAAAATACAAATATCAAGTTTTTATAAAATTATTTTCTTCTCTTAAAATATTATTTAATACTTGTTTTTTTTTCTTATATATAAATGAATTGCTATACCTACAGAAATCCAAATTAGTTTCAGTACTCTTGAAGTTGCTTTGAAGTCTACACCCTTTTCTAATTTATTCAAAAATCTTATACTAATATTCCTACTATATTGAATATTCTATAACCTAAAAAAATTGTAATTAATGTCATTATTATATCCTTATTAGTATGCCATTGTCCAAGGATTATTTTTGTTTTTTATTTATTTTGCAATAGCTAATACCTTATCTAAAAATTGCTTTATCTACAACTATATTAATATATTCATCATTCTCCATTCCAATTTCACTTAAATACATCTTTAAATATTCGTGTATAGCAGAATCATTTGATGGTAGATCTCCAGCATTAGGAATTATAACATTAGGAGATGCAAAATTAGAACTAACTTTAAAATGTGTTATAATTTGATTGTATATATCATTTTCATCAAAATTTGATTGATAATTAGGAGTGGAATTTTCATTAAATGTAAGTAATTTTTTAAAAATTGAGTTAAAAATATGAAATGTTTATTGTGAAAAATTATTTTATTCAAAAAGCTTTTGCTGATTTCGTTCTTATTCTTCAAAATTTTCAGATAATTTAGGTAGATGATATTAAAATAATATATGCAATGTAACATGTGAATTTTCTCTAACAGCATCAAAAATATTACCATAACCAAATGTAACCTTCTTAAAATCCACATTATCAATTATACTAAGTTTTCAAATATTTTTTTCATGATAAATTCGATTAGTTGAATCTACTAAAAGAGTACAAATTTTTTCTAAATTTCGTTTATGTCTTTGAGAATGACTTGTAATATTAACAACTTCTAAAATTTCTTGCAGTGATGATAGAAGTTTTAGTTTTCAGCAAAGTCTTGCTATTATTCGAGGTAACTAAATTTTCCATCCTTTAAATGCAATATTTAAAATTATTGAAACAAAAAATATGACTTGTTTGGTAATTTTTTCATAATTTAAAGATTTTAGTTGCTTTTCACAATGCTTTCTTTGTCAGTCTATAATTTTCTTTTTTATTTCATATAAAGTTTTCAAAAGATCATTGTAGAATTATATTAAACATAAAGGAAATGCAATGCAATACTCTTTTATAAAGGTAGATGATTCAAGTAATTTTTTGTGAATTTTTAATTCATTTTTTGCAAGTATTAGTGAATATACTAATACTTCTCCAAATTCAAAAAAATTTTTTAGTGTAAGATTCTTAGGATTTAATTTTTTGTTAAAATTGTAATTAAATTTTGTTAAAGCAAGAATAATAAGTATTATAAATAAAGAAGATACTTTATCATTTACTTTTAATGGTGTTGGTAAAGTATTAGATTTTTTTTTAGTATTAATAATACATAAAATAGGAGTTAGCTACGTTAAACCTTTTATTGAAATATTATTTTATCAGAATTAGCGATATCAAGAATTCAAAATCCAATTGCTTCTAATGCTTTTTTGGTATCATCTTTATGATATGACATATTATCACAACTCAGATCTTTTTTTACATCTCTTTTAACATGCTGTTAAATATGCCCACCATTATTTTCATAACAAGTCATACAAATATATTGTGCATTTTTACTTGATTTTGTTGAAATTACGAAAGAATGATATGCTTGCAATGCATCACATTTTATTTGTTCTATGCAAGGTACTTGAATATTTTACCTATAACTGTATATGAATATTCTTTACAATTAGAATCACAACTAAAAAATATATATTTTTATTACAAAATAAATATTTACGATTATGGATAATATTCACAATGTAATTTTTAGTTTGTTTTAAATTCGATAAATGCAATTGATTCTGATCATATAAGAAATATGAGTAACAAACTCCCAAATTCTCAATTGAAAAATTTTTCACCTTAATTTCTTCTTTATTAATTTGCCATGTACCAATCATTTGTCAAAGTTGTCTTAATTTTGTTTTAAAATTATATCACTGAATTTTACCATTTAATGTATCAATTATAATACATAGACTTAATTTTTCATTATTTTGTAATTTTTCAATTATTTCATCATGTTCTTCATCAGATTCTATATCAGAAAAATTACTTCCTACATCACTTATATCTCCCTGATCGTCATCCTTCAAAATATTTTGTTGAGCCAATAATTTTGTATTTGTGAATATATTGAAATCTAATTCAAATAAAGATTCATTATTTTTTACATTACTTAAACTCTTATATTCACTGTAATTCTCATATTCACTGCAAAAAGTTTCGTTCTTATCTGATAAATCTTCTTCTAAATTCTCATATTCCAAGTTTTCCTCTAAATTCATTATAATAAAAATTTCAAATCTAAAAAAAAGGATTTTTTAGTTTTTAAATGAAAAAAGTACACTAAATTTTATTGGTTTTAGTTTAAAGTTTTAAATTTCTTATTGTGTTTAGCAATAGCCAAGTTTCTCTTATCTTTTATTATCTTTAATATTAAAAAATACACTAATTTCTAATGAAGATTGAAATTGAATAATAAAGAGTATATAAATATTTTTTTAATAAAGTTGCAGAAGCAGTCAATAAGTTTATTCTTTATTATTTAAATTAGATTGATTGTATTGCATAAATGCAGCGTTATATATGATCTGAATTTTTTCATTTTAACGAAATTTAGGCTGGAATTATAAGATTGGCCAGAATTAACAAAATTTTAGCTCAAATTATGATTGATTGATCGGCGATTTTAGCTGATTTAATTAACTTTGAATAACTTTAAATTATATATATATAGAGTATATATGAAGGCAATATTACGCTGTCACGATGGTTTCATGACTTCAAATAAAATCTCAAAAGTGGTAAATAAAACTAAGACAATTACTCAAGGAATTACGGGTGAGGATTCACAATAACGTCGAAGAGTTATTCTCAATATAAATCACGTGAGGTAAACATAAAATAAACTCAAAGTTAACTCAAAGATATTTCAGAGATTACGCTTCAGAGACTCCAAGTCAATACAGCGAATCAAT